TTCCACAATCTGGACAGTTCTTTACTCCAATCACAGAACCAGATGTGCCCTATAGTTTAGCACATATAGTAGACTCCTCTATTACACCAGCCAGCCCTAATCTTGCACCTGATTCTACCAACCTAGGAGCACCTCCTTCTGTGTCTTTAAGATAATCACAAAGAGTTACCAAACCACCCATTTGGACTACAGATTTTCACTGTCCTACACTTCCCTCTTCCTCACAAACTTATCTGGTCAAGTATCCAATGTCAGATTGCCTTTCCTATGACCATCTTTCACCTCAATACCAAGTTTATCTTAGCAAAATGTCTACTTTGACTGAACCTGCCAGTTTTTTCCAACCTTCCAAAGATCCTAATTGGATTGAAGCTATGTCCAAGGAGATCAAAGCCTTAGAAGACAATCACACTTGGTCCCTGGTTCCTTTGCCTCCTGGTAAGCATCCAATTGGACGTAAGTGGGTGTACAATTTGAAATATAATGCTAATGGAACCTTAGAGAGATATAAGGCTAGGTTAGTAACCAAGGGTTATACAGAGCAAGTAGGGATTGATTATGAGGAAACATTTTCCCCTATTGTGAAAATGATAACAGTTATGACTATTTTATCTCTTGCTTCCATCTATGATTGACCATTGTATCATCTTGATGTAGATAATGCTTTCTTGTAAGGGGATTTAACTGAGGACATTATATGACATTGCCTCAAGGATTTCATAAACCTACTGCCCCAAAAATTGTTCACAAACTGAAAAAGTCATTATATGGCTTAAAACAGGCTTCTAGGGCCTAGAATTTTAAGCTTGCTATAGCCTTAGTTCAAGAAGGTTTCTCCCAATCTAAGTCTGATTATTCTTTATTTGTTAAGAAGCATGATACTCAAATGGTGGTAGTTTTAGTCTATGTAGGTGATATAGTAATTACGGGCAACAGTTCAGAGTTGATAGCTCATACCAAGAAATTGCTTCATTCTCATTTCAAGCTTAAAGATTTAGGTTTATTAAGATACTTCCTTGGTTTAGAGGTAGCAAGATCAGCTAAGGGCATCATTGTTTGTCAAAAAAGTATGCTTTAGAATTGATTTCCACTACTGGTTTATCTGGAGCTAGGCCTTCTCTTATTCCTCTTGATCAGCATAAAAAATTTACTTTATCAGATTATGACAAATAGTTTGCTATTTTTGGGGATCCTCTACTGCCTGATGCTACAATTTATCAACAACTCATTGGAAAACTTCTTTACTTGTGTATGACACGTACAAATTTGAGCTATTCAGTTAGTTTATTAAGCCAATTCATGCATGCTCCTAAGGTGTCTCATATGTAGGTTGCCTTGAAGATTGTTAAGTTTATTAAACAAGCTTTGGGGGTTTGTGGTTATTTTTCCCATCTGATAACACAGTTCAGCTTAATGCTTACTGTGATTCAGATTGGGCCTCTTGTTTGATTACTCGGAGATCAGTCACTGGTTTTTGTGTGTTTTTGGGAAATCTCTTATGTCTTGGAAGTCAAAGAAGCAAGTTACAGTCTCAAGGTCTTCTTCAAAGGCAAAATACAGGGCCATGACTTCTGCTGTATGTGAAATTGTTTGGCTCTAGCAATTATTTTCGATCTTGGTTTTCCTAGTTTAGCTCCTATCCCTCTTTTTTTGTGATAACCAATGAGCCTTGCATATAACCTCTAATCCCATGTTTCATGAACGTACCAATCATATTGACATTGATTCTCATATTGTTCATGAGAAGATACAAACTGGTCTTATTCAAACTAAATATGTTCCTAGTAATGAGCAGAGGTCGATATTCTTACTAAATCTCTTGGTAGTCATTCACATAATCATTTTCTTTCCAAGATGGGACTGCTTAATCTTTGTCACTCACCACCTCGAGGGGTGTATTGAAGATATATCAGTTTTCAGCTTCAGACAACTCCAATCCAGCTCAGCATACTAATTTGTAGAATTGGTTAAAGTTGTTGTGTAGGTTACTGGTGTAATAGTTTGCAGCGGTTAGTGAAATAGAACCATAGTAGTTGAGCTGAGTTAGTACATAAGTAAGGTGTACTCCATTGATTTGTAATTTTTCCAGATTATGAATAAAATTTTTCTTCATTAAACTCTCTGTAGAAAAAGTTAATAATTTGAAAGCCAAAATTCTGGTAATTAAAACACACTCCTTTTTTGTATTTACTTCAACTTTACATTATTGAACAAACAGTATTTTACAAAACCTCAGGACACGCAATGGCAACCACAAATGAACATAACATACACGATCACACGTGAAGCTTCTTGAACTATGAAGCCTTGAATCTCCCACACGACAACCCTAAAAAACTAAGCAACGTCTATGTATCAAACATTCTTTGGAGTCTGCTCCACGTTCCTCTTCGGCACCGTCACTGTCAACACGCCATGATCCAGTGAGCACTTAATCTCATCCAAGTTGGCATTCTCCGGCAGCCTGAACCGCCTCACGAAGCTGCCTCGCCGCCTTTCAACACGGTCCCACTTGTCGTTTTCTTCCTTCTGATCTTTTGTCCTCTCACCACTGATCTGAAGCACGTTGCCGTCCTCCACATGCACTTTCACCTCCTCTTTCCTCACCCCAGCACCCATTAAACACGCCTTGTAGCTTACACAATACAGTGCTTAGAAATTTAGATAAAGGAGAAACTAAAAAAGCACAAAGCCCTATGATGCAGCCTATAGAAGCAACTTCCCTTTGCTTCATGCAATGATAATATGCAGCTCACAAAGAAATGTTTTACTACTAATATCGAGCAAAAGGGTTTTGTTCATAAATTAAATTCCTATTAAGGTATTTGTTACTCAGGACGGATACAGAATTTAATGTTGGAAAAGGAAATTCAATGTATAAAATAATTTGAAATTTCTAAAATTTATGATATAATCAGTAGCGGATCCAAAAATTTCTTTTAGGGTGGGCCAAAATAAAAATTTATTATAAATTATTATTTTTGTCCATTAATAATTTTTTTAGAGTGGGTCAAAATATATAAATTTACATTTACATATTAATATTAAAAAAAAAAATTTGGCCCACCCAAAAAGTGGTTGGATCCGCCACTGGATATAATGTTAGAAGTGTAAAAATATTCTATTTGTCTGCAATTTTACTCCTGTTGAGTTCTAATCGATAAAAAACGATATAAAATTTATTTAATTAAAAAAATTTATAATCTTTAAAAAAGCATTTATTTATCAAAGTTCAAAAGTAGATTATATCAAATTGGAAAATAAGTAAGACATGTAAAATAAAATTTGAGTGGGGTCATCAGCCCCCGCTGGACCCAAAAAGGGTCCGTCCTTAGTTATTTTACCTGGGAGATCGGCATGAAAGATATGGGAGTCCTCAGTTTCACGCCAGTCAACATGAGCGTGAGCCAGAGCGCTGGTTTCATCAGCGCGGTTCTTGTCTTGACCTTGAAGTTGACCCCAATTGGTTCCAGAGCTAAAAGGGTCCCATATTTCAGAGGCAAACCATGGATCGTAGTCTCCACCTCTGCGGCCTCCTCCGAACCAGTGTCCCAGTGAAGTCATTTGTTTTGTTTAGGCGGAAGCAGCAATGTGGTTTGGTTTTGTTTAGCTATGGCTTTGTAATTTGAGTCGTTACTTATTTGGTTTTTTTATAAGAAAGAAAGGCAGAGTATTGAGTTGAGGATTTTCATCCATGTTTGTTTCTGTATTTGCTTAGTCTTTGTGGTTAAGAGGCACGTGGGAGAGGTGGTGACACGTGTTGTTGTTGCCTGCTTAGTTGCCACGTGATTTCGGTGGAGCCAATTAATCTCACATAAATTAAAACAGAAGTTTATTTTTGAATCGTAAGTCAAAATGAAAGTATTATTTCTAAAGTTGAGTTATAAATAATAAATTTATTTAGTTGTATTTAACAGTTCTGAATTGCATCATTATTGATTAAAAACATTTTTTTTTTTTAATATCTAGGTGTCTAAATCAATTTGTACGTATTTTAACTAATCTTTCAAGATTAGATAAGAGTTTTAGTGATCATTTGCATTAGAGTCTAAAAAGATTTGAATTCAAGAATTTATGAAACTTTCTTTTGTTCCTTTATTATCAAATCATCTAGCGATGATAGATAAAAATTATATTATGAAAATAGGTATCTTAAACTCTCCGTCTATATGATTTTATCTTCTCTGTTTGTCCATACACATTATATTTTTTTATCCAATTATTTCTGATTTAAATCTAAGAATTAGTTTAAAATTTGTCAATCATCCAACGTCATCATTGAATTATAGTACTATATTAAAATATCGTTAGTTTTGGTGCAACGGATTTATTAAGTTATATAATAAGTAACATTATTAATATAAAAGATGACGGGCATTTCACCGTATTAAAACCAAGAGTCGCTGTTTTATTAAGAGTTAATAACAATAACGTCCCTCCAGTTTAATTAAATATAAGAGTTCCTCTAAGGTTATATTAATAATAAAAATCTCCTTTTTTTTTTCTTTGCTTTTGGGCAGAATAGAAGAATTACGAAACAAATTCTCATATCTTGTAGAAGGTTTTATGGTAAATCTTAGTAGTGTAGTTATTCAAAGATAAAAAAAATAAAGAAATTCAATCAATTTCACTGATTTAAAAAAAAAAAAATTCAGAATTATAAATATCATAAATAAAAATTATGATAAATAACTTAAATTTGAGATTTCAGTTAAAAATTAACATGTTTACGGAAGTATCTCAACAAATTATTGTATCCTAACATTTCAACACTTATAAAACTAAATTACCTTTTTCTTAACAAAAAATAAAAGTGAAAACTCTATGTGAGATACTTTTATAGATGGGCTATTTTGTAGTTTACACAAAAAATATTCTTGATATAATTTCTCATAAAAAAGGAAAAAAGTTCTTTTTAATGTTTCCCAAAACCTATGGGTGTTATATAAGTTAAAATTATCTTTTAGGGGTCCAAAAGTATTTAAATTCTCTTTAAATACGCATATCCACTTTGACTGTTTTTCTGAGGCCAATTCAACTCCTACCCTCATAACTCCAAATGGCCACTTCAACTCAAAACCCAGTCCGTTTCGGCATAATCGGGTGCGCAGACATAGCTCGGAAGCTTTGCCGAGCCATCAATCTCGCGCCAAACGCCGTCCTCTCAGCCGTGGCGAGCCGTTCGCTCGAGAAAGCCGTCAGCTTTGCAAAAGCCAACAATTTCTCCACTGAAGCCAAGATCTACGGCTCCTATGAAGGCCTTATTGAAGACCCTACAATCGACGCCATTTATTTGCCTCTGCCCACTTCGCTGCACGTAAAATGGGCCCTGAAAGTGGCCCAAAATAAGAAGCATTTGCTGATGGAGAAGCCGGTGGCCATGAACGTGCAGGAGTTTGATGAGATTGTGAAAGCGTGTGAGGAGAATGGAGTTCAGTTGATGGATGGTACCATGTGGGTCCATCATCCCAGGACTGCGAAAATGAAGGAGTTTCTTGGTGATGCGGAGCGTTTTGGTCAGCTTAGAAGGGTATTGAGTTTTTATATTATTTTATTTTTATATCTGGAGAGTTATTTTTTATTTTTATTTTTTTTATATATATTTATTTTCTTTTACGGGAATTTTATATCTTTGGTTGAAAATAAAAAATTTAAGTTTATATTTAGCAATGCTTTATTTAACACTCACATAACACTTCATTAAATGAAAAATATAATAATTGTGATGGATATGTGAGAGCCTGTTTAAATCAGCTTATTTGAGTTAAACTTATAGAAGGAGAGCTTATTGGAGTAGAGCTTTTATGAAAAATTGTTAGTTGTTTGGTTGAAGAAATGTAAAAAAGCTTTTTATTATTAAAATGTGGAAAAAAGGCTTTATTAACAAGAATTATAAAGTCAAATTTATAATATAGTAAATGAATGTATTTTTGATTCAACCCTTTAAATAAGTTTAGAAAAGAGCTGATGGAATAAGCTCAAAATTTGAGCTTCTTCCAATAAACGTAAAATCGCTTATTTTAAAAGCACTTTAATATGCAATCAAACAATTTAAAAGAATTCAAAAAATGGTTATAACTCTGAATAATTTGGCTAGTAGATAAGCGCAACCAAAAAGGCTTTGAATGTATATTCCAAAAGGACTTATTAAAGTCACAAAAGGATAAAATTTGGATAGTTAATTTTGTTTTTCTATAAATAAACGTAATGATATAATCAAAATTTTTGTTTTTTCAGTGTCATAGATCTCATTTAGAAATTACTTAATAAGGGCAGATATATCATGCATCTCGTGCGCGTATCTATGTGGACAAAAGAAAATATATAGGGATGGTTATGGAGGATATATGTGGTGGCATTTTAGGAGAAGGATATAGAGCTTTTGACCTTTTTGCTTACCTAGATATTATTTCTGGGGTTTTTCAACTAATGTTGCAGGATCCTGTTCCGAGTTTAGAAATCGGTGAAGAAGCACTAATAGTTGATGAATTTATGTGTGTTTTATCGCATAGATGGAATTTCCGAATATATTTTCTGTCCTTTTGTTTTAATTTGTGTGAAAAATCTCCATGCTTACCGGGCATTGATTGAGTGTAGTTTCTAAACATCATGATAGGTTACTAATGGAGAGGTTTTAATTTTTACTAATGGAGAGGTTTTAATTTTTGAACTGTTGTTCAGTTGTTGCAAAAGTTGTTATTTGGGATATTGTTGTTTGACTTGTGGACAAAAATCAAACCAAACTGCTATGGACTGGTTTCACTTACTGTAAACTGGAATAGAGACAAAATCAAACCAATGCAAATGAAAAATGTTATTGTGCTTTACCTTTTCTTATTCGATTAGAACCAGCATAGTAATTGCTGAAAATAAGTAGATTATTTTCTTGGTTGAAAAGTTTGAAGTAAATTTTGTTTCAGATTTAGCTATTTTACCTCAAAATAAATTCTCACATCTAATGCATGTATCTATTGTGTTATGATGTAATCATATTGCTTTCCAATAACCCACAGTATTGAAATTATGGCCTTTTGTTGACATATTCTGTTTGTTTGATTCATAGTCCAAACTTCATTTAATTTAGCATTCTCTTTTAATGTTCACTAATATTTTAACTGATGAAAAATTCAGATGTATATTTACTAAAAACCGATATACAAGTGAAAGTAAGTGTTAACACTGTACTTTAGGTAGAAGCTTGTGAAAGCAATAGCACATGCTAAGCGTGCACATTCATCTTTTTCTCCCAATTCGCCATGCTTAGTTACACCGACTTTCTCTTTTGAACTGAGTTTTTGCTATCACTTTTAAATTGATCCTTTTTGGGTCTGCAGATACACACATGCTTCTCATTTGCTGTTGATCCTGATTTTCTCAAAAATGATATTCGTGTAAAGCCAGATCTAGATGGTCTTGGTTCTCTTGGTGATGTTGGTTGGTATGGCATCAGGGCAATCCTGTGGGCAGCTGATTATGAACTGCCAAAAACAGTTACAGCCTTGCCTGGGCCGGTTCACAATGAAGCAGGGGTAATCTTATCTTGCGGGGCATCTCTTTATTGGGAAGATGAGAAAGTAGCCACCTTCCATTGCTCTTTTTTAGAAAATTTGACAATGGACATAACCGCAATCGGAACAAAAGGAACCTTGCATGTTCATGACTTCGTTATTCCATTTCATGAGAATGAGGCCTCTTTCAGTGCAGGTACCAAATGCTTTTTCAATGATCTTGTGACTGCATGGACACCGTTGCCAAGCGAGCACACTGTAACTGCAGATCTTCCTCAAGAAGTTTGCATGGTGAGAGAATTTTCTCGCTTGGTCGGAGACATTAAAAATGGCACAAAGCTTGAGCGTAAGTGGCCAATCATCAGTAGGAAGACACAGATAATATTGGATGCTGTGAGGGCATCAATTGAAAAAGATTTCACCCCAGTTACAGTTCAGTGGTAAATTAGGTTTCTCTGCTCTGTGCTTGGCCATTTCATTGCACTTCTAATAAAGATGATTCGGTTGTGGTAAATGTTTTTATTCAGTAAATATATGTAAGATTGTGCAGCTTATGATGTGTAACCTGGATTTGTATTCTAGATACTGTGCTTGAAAAGGACTGCTTCTTTACTTCAGTTTATGAGTTTTTAAATAAGATCTTGTAAGGGTGCGCTCAGTATTGTTTTCTTCTTATTCCATACCGATTGCTGCTGAAGAGATCCGATCTTGCTGATAGGGATGGCCGGGTCGAGTCTTGTCAGTTTGGTATTGAGCCATAATAAATAGGGGTGGGAAAAACGGGTTAACCGGTATCTTAAACCAGATCGGTTTTCAGTTTAAAAAAAAAATCTTAACCGAAACCGGTTTAGTTTCAATTATAAACCGGTTTAAAATAGAACCGAAAATTCGGTTCAGTTAACCGGTTAATTATGATGGGTTGTATTTGTTCTGCCCAATTCGGTCAAACCCTTTACTTTGACCCATTTGTTTTTTGAAGTTTTTTTTTTTTTTTTAAATTCGAATAAAGTTATATTATATGAATAATTTGAATTCATATAATTTTAATGTACATCAAGTATTAATAATTAAAATTATATTAGTGAAGACCTAGGATAAATTTTTTAAAAATGCACAAATATAAATTATTTTTTAAAAAATTGAATTTTGGAAAATGCATTAGTGAAGACTAGGATAAATTTTTTAAAAATTGAAAAATATAAAATTATTTTTTTATTCATTGAATGGTTTAAAATCTGATTGGTTAGCCCTTTTTGTTATTTAAAAAAAACCGAATATTCGGTTTACAAAATATGACAAACCGAAAGGAAAAAACGAATTTTTGGACTGTTTTGGTTTTTTTTGGTTCGGTCCGGTTTTCGATTTTTTTTCCACCCCTAATAATAAACTTCGATGATTAGGCTCTTTAGCTTCATAATAGCCGAGATTAATAGCAGTAAGGTGTATAGTTGCTTCTTTCTAATCTTAGACTCTAAGTAACTTCATTTCATTTTCCATGAAATGTATTATCCATATTTCAATAACCAAGCGGGTGGAGACCCGACAAAGTTGCCAGGTTGACCGATTTTATCGGTTTGACCAGTCGTAAACTGGTGTAAAAAAGTTTAAAATTCACAAATCACCCCTGAAAATTATGTGAAGTCCCAACAAGTTTCAAATTTATCAAACATACTCCAAATACAAATCGGGTGACTAGTTGGCGGTGGTGGCACACCAAATACAATAATAATTCATTGAGTCCCTTCCCTCACAATCTACGCAAGATTTGGCCAAAATTGACCAATTTCGGCTAGATCTCTCAATGACGGCATCGATCGATTTTGGTCAGATCTCACCATCGTCAGCTTCGACAACCCTCCTTATCACCACGAAAATACTCTCTTATCTCCTGACCAAAACTCATCTCACCTACCCCCTTTACCTCGCCAATCGTGGCAAAACTGGCTATTGCTGCTATTGTTTTTTTTTTTTTTTCCGGTTATTAACTCACCGAAAATCACTTCTGTTGCCACTATTGCACTCACCGGCACTTTCTTTTCAGAAGCCTCAACATCCGACTTCAATTGTTTGCCGATCATCATTTTAAATTCTAGAATTTTGGGTGAATTGAGAAATTGTTAACCGGCCTAGTGAAGGTCCCGGGTCTTGGTTGCACTAGTTCAACCAGCCATGGGCCAGATTTTAAAACACTGTGTATTATAGAATTGCCTGATCAGCCTTGCCAATGGGATATCCAAACTTCTTTCAAGAATAAATTATTCTCATGGAATTGTTACATTGCTAGGGAATAAGGATACCTTCTTCCTCGACTATTACTCTTTCTAATGTAACCTAATTTAATGGTGCAATTGGATGGTACGTTACTATGTAATGATATTTAACTAAATTTAGTGGTGCAGTTGGGAGTTAATGTTATTGCAGCTCGAATTAATCTCTTTATATAATGATATTTTTTAACTTAATTTTGATCTTTCTAATGTAAGATATTTTTGACCTAATTCAATGGTGCCGTCGGAAGGTAACTTCTGCAACCAACTATCGGATCTCTCTAATGTAATGATATTTAATCAGGTTTGATGGTACAGTCCGATGGTTGGGTAAGGTAACCTTACCGCAACCATACCGGATGACCCTTTTTCACAATGATTTTATGTGCTCTCAAGTCTCAACTCAGATTTTACCTATCAGGACTCAGGGGTCTGAGAGCCCGATCAGAGTAGGGGCAAATAACAATTTGTGGCCCATAAAAAGGGTCTTCGCCGAGAATATTGGAAATTAAATGGCCATTTTATGTACTATTGTGTAAATTATTCTGAAAATAATTTGCAAAATAGAAACAAAATTGAAGGCCGTATTTTTAAGATTTGAGTATCCATTCAATATCATTTGTAAAAGCAAATATCTAAAATGGAAACAAGGAAACGAGGTTGGCTTTGTTATGTTTTAATATATAATTACAAATTTTATAGTTTCAAATTTTAGAACTATCTAAAAAGAATCTAAAAATAGAGCATGATTCAAACTTTTAGTGGTATTTTAACATTTTTAACATTTGAAAATAAGTTTGATATAATATTTGTAACTATAGAAAACTATGAAAATAACTTTTAATTGTTTTTTGATTTTACATTAGCTTTTTAATATATATTAAAATTATATAGTTTCAAATCTTAAAACATCTAAAAAGAATCTTAAAAAACTAGAATATGATTCAAAACGTTTAGTGGTACTTTTATATTTTTAACATTTGAAAATAAGTTTGATATAATTTAAAAACTATAGAAAATTATGAAAATAACTTTTAATTGTTTTTGATTTTATACATTAGCTTTTTGGTTGTATCAGAAACTATTTACAAAAACATTTCAACTCAAAATGCTTCCTCACTCCAAGTGTTTTATTTTTATTTTTTTTTTTTATGTCTGGGGTGTTTGGGCCAGTTCGCGAATTAATTAATCCTAAGAATCCATTGAACACCTTACAAGCCTAATGTTTCAGGTAAACCACAAATATGGTAGTGATTTCAAGATAGTTTGAACACAGAAAGTCAATAAAGAGAGTAAATATTTTAACCGCCAAACCAATTCCAAGTGTTTTTCTTTCCCTATATACAAAGACTATACTATTGAAGAAAGTAAACTTGATATCAAAACTAAACTCTCAAATTCGAAGCCTTTTTATATTTCATGTGTAGGTCTCTCTTGTAAACATTCATATATAATTTGAACTTAAGTTTTTGCAGATTTCTACTTTTATTTTTACATCTATACTTACAAATTATTTTAGGTCTAAATTATAATAAAAAAAGTTTCTTTTATGATAAAATGTGGGTTTTATAATATAAAGAATATAACAACATGTTATAAATAACATATTGTCGATCAAAAGCCATGGGCATTGTTTCATTATTTGGATATGATTTTTGATATTTTTAGAGTTGGGTGAGAATAATGAGTTTGAAAATTAACAAAACACCTCTCTAGGTTTGCTAATTTACTAAACACCCTAATAAATAAAATTTTTGTAAAATGATAAAAACACCCCCACCCACAGTTGCCAGATTCGACTACCACTGCCGGAATCTGGCGTTAGGCGCACGACTAGCCAGATCTGACCATCGTGTGTCGCTGTGGCCTTTTTTGGCCAGATCCACTACGGATTTGGCCAGAAAAGGCGAGATCTATGGCCATTTCTAGCCATCAACGACGACCAGCTACGACTACAGATCTGGCTGTCTGACCTTTTTCGGCCTTTTCCGGCCAGATCCACGATGAATCGGCCTAAAAATAGATCGGCACATTACTGGCCAGATCTAGCCGGTAGTGTGCCATTATACTAGATTTCGGCCACCTTTCGGTGGTGGTGGCCAGTAATGTTGGAAAAGTAACGGCCGCGCCGCGGCGGCGTTAGGGGTTTTGGCAGGTCGGACCTAACCCAGCTTGCCAACAATCCGACCCACCACTGTTAGGTGTGGCGGCCTAGCCTGGCCCGCTAACCTAACCAGAGGGTTATGCTGTAGGCCGGGCCGGGTTAGAACCCCCCCCCCCCCCCCCCTCTTTTATTTAATTTTTTCTTTTCTATTCTTTTGTATAATTTTTTTAGTTAACTTTTCAAATATCAATAATTTAATTAAATTAATTTTTTTTTTGTTAACATTTCAAATATTAATTCAATTAATACAATAAAATTGTAATATAAGAAAAATTAGATAAATAGATTTATTCATTTATCAAAAAATAAACTAAGAAATTACAACAATTATTACCTCGTTAAAAATCTCACCAAGAAAACCTAATGGGACAAAAAACTTGGTAAAGAAAAAACAGTGCAATAATTGACAATTAATTTACAAGTTACAATTTACAAAAAAACTAATTGGAGGTTGACTAGGACCTCCCTCATCGTATCATCTATATTACAAATTGAAATGATTCTATTAAAGTATCGTCGACAACCTTGTATTGATCTTGATGGCACGACGTTCCTAACTCGAGACATGTGAGGACTTTAATAATTTTTGGTGAAAGTTTAGTCCTCATTTCATTTAAAATTCTTTCACTTGCACTAATTGTTTGTTCGGATGAGACAAGACAGAGAAAACATCCAAGGCAAGTCTTGATAATGCCGAAAAATACTTTTCTGGTTTTCCAATATTCTAAGACATCAAAGTTGACTTTGTTGTGGATCTACTGGTAACATTCGGGAGTTCCCAAATGTTGAAGCTCATTACTCTATGACTGCATGGAGGACAATATATTCGTTGTTGGTGCTTCTGAAGAGGAGGCTGTGCTTCGGTTCGGGTTCTTTCGCCTATTAAATGCACTCCAGGAGTAGAAGTCTTCATTTGTTCTTCGATGTGAACTTCCTTGGTATTTTGCCTCTTGCGGGTTCCATACCTGTTTTCATATTGGAAATATACCTCTGCAAGACACTCTTTTACCTCTCCTAGTTGTTGGCATATGCTTCGTTTTGTAAATTTTCAGTTAATATGTCTAACCATTTTCTAAACTGTTACTTTAATTCTAGGATCAAATATAACACCTAAACAATAACGAAAGGAATGGGTTTCCAATATCTTAAAAAAAAAATTTTCATTGCCTTTATTGGTCCCCCTAAAATTTCATTGTTTTTGTTTTTTCTAAATAACTTTAAATTTTTATAATTGTATGTATTAC